GAGATGCGCCCACTCAGCGCCGCGATTGCGATGAAGCTGAACGCCTCAAGCTACTGGCTCAACGTCGCGACCTACGCGGGCGCCTTCATGGGCGCGATCTGTCAGGATTCGAGATTTGCACCACCCGCCCCAAGGAGATCGCGCGAAAGTGCGCGCAGCACAGGAAGAGGATCTTCGAGATGAAGAACCAGGCGCTGGTCGAGGAGATGCACGAGGCGCGGCGACGGCGGAACATCGCGGAGGCGCATCTTCTGAGCCTGCGTTTGGCTGGTGGCCGTCGCGGAAGCGGCAGGCGAGATTTGTCGCGCTTGGAGGGCGCCTTGCCCACGGCGGCGGAATGGCTTGAGACTTGGTCCAATCCTGGGGGGGGGCGGGGGGGGCTGGCGTCGAGGATGGGGCGTGGGGATTCGGCTCGGGATCTGGGAGACTTCAAACGCTCTCCAGCCCCGCCCTGATACCGCCAAGAACGGGCAGCCCAGTCATTTAAGGATGCGATGGGGGATCTGGTCTCTTCATGCGTGTCTGAAGCCAGCGTCTAAGCGAAAAGTGAATCGTGGGTGGTCGCTCCCTGTTGAGCTTTGGGGACTGGGGGTTCGCGGGCCTCCGCAAGCGGGCCCTCGTCGCCGCGCTGGGCTCGGCTCGTAGCGGTTTGCGATTTCGGGCGAACGTGTTCGGATATGGCCAGTGCAGTTTTTTCTCGGATTGGGCCGACGGGCGCTGGCGCGCGAGTTTCGCGCGGCTTGGATGTTTCAGGCGAGATCTTATGCAGCGGGCGATGAAACGCGGCCCTCTTAAACTATTCTTGCTCGGAGATGGACCGCGGCCTCTTTCGACGTCCGAGGAGAGAGGGCGCCGTCGCCGTCAATATTTGCCGCTCGTGGCGCCTGAATCAAGCTGGCTCGCGTTGGACTGATTCGCCGGAGGATTTGCGCGGCGCCTGCGCGTCTCCGTCGTGTCCTGCGGTAGATGAGGTCGCGCTGGACACGGCCAAGGGCGCGAAGGGTCGTTTTTGCCAGCGGCGACGTCGTTTAGCTTGCGTTGCCATCCCCGCGGGGGGGGAAGACCTTCTTCTGAGGGCGCAGCGCGGCATGCTCCAAGGGGGCCCCTTCGCCGCGGCCTCGTTCGTCCGCGCGCGTCGCCCCGCGGCCGATAGCCGGGCCTCGACGCGTCGCGAGGCGGGCCCCGAGGGGCAGCGGCTAGGCGCGAGGCGTGATCACTTTTCCCCGTCAACTGTTATCTCGGCGCCACTACTTGCTGGCGGTTCGTTGGAGATGCTGGTCCTGGGGCCGCGCTTTCTCCTCGGGTCCAGCTAAATAGCCGCGCGGCGCAGGGGTGGATTGCTCGATGCCGAGATGAAGAAGATTGGGCCCCGTCGGGGCCCAAGGAAGCAAGAGGCCATCTGTTCAGCCCCGCCCTCGGCTAAACGTAGCTGCGAATATGTCGATGGGTCTCTCGCGCGGCCGCGGCGAGTCTGTCCGGCGCTTCGGCCCGAGATTGGCTTTCGCTCAGGCGCGCGCAGCTCTACGCGGAACGGGGTGATCTTCCAGCGTTCGAGCACCGAGTGGGATGACAGCGATCGGACATGGCGCGCATCTCCCCAGCTCGCTCAACCTCGCATCGCTCTGCGACAGAGCCCAGCCACCGCTGGCGCCAACTTCGAAGCTGACCGGCGCCTGGCTGAAGACGCACCGCGGGCGAAGGGGCTGAGTTCACAACGTGACGCAGCAGCGCGCGCCGCTTCCATTCGAAGGGACTGTTTGGCATCTGCCAGAAACCTCCCATGCGAAATTTGGCCGTCTTCGCAGCCTGCGCGCGTTCCCCTAGCACGACTTGGAGCGCGAAGGCTGAAGTCATTTCGAAGTTTCGCGCCGCCCCCGAATCCCATTGACAATGGATTGCTGCCTGGTTTGGCACGTTTCTTGGAGGGGACGCTTTCGGAGAACAAGCTTCAATTCGGCCTGGTGCGAACCCTTGGGCTTTGAGAGCTCCGGAGGCTATTGGGCAGCTTGCGATCGCGTCCGAGGAGGCGGCGGGCCCGTGGCTCGAGGCCCAGACGCCGGCTGAAACGCCCGTTCGAGCATGAGTTTGCGATGAGCTTTTAAAGCGTGGATGCACGGGGCCATTGCGAGACAGCGGTGCGAAGCGAGGCATTCGTCCTCGCATCTGTTATGATGTTGTCAAAGAGGCTGTCTCAGGGAAGTGTTGGAAGTGCGCGGCCCTGGACAAAGCTAGGATCCGTGCTTTTGTCAGCGGTGCGTTCTTCACCTGTGCTTCTGCGAGACAGCTCGGCTACGATGTTTCGGATTGCTGTCCCTTCGGCTGTCCCTGCAAAGACGCCATGTTCCATTGGCTGCGGGTGTGCCCCCATCCTTCCATCGCGGAAACGAGAAAGGAATTAGTTGACCAGGCCATAATTGATGTTGCTCTTGAAGCTAAGGCCTCGGGGGACTTCGATGAGGTGTTTGTGCTCATATCTGGAGCCTTTCGGCGCCCCGCCGACTGCTATCCCAAGCCCTTGCCCGAAGGTTCCACGGATGGTCCCACCCTGGTCCGGCGCGATACCTCCCTCTCCCCTCTCGGCGGAGGCAGTCTGAGAAACCGTGTCTGGAGCCCGCTCTTTATAGACGGATCGTGCAGCCGCCATGCCGTCAAAGAACTCTCGAGAGCGGGGGCCTGTGTCGCTGTGGTCAATAGCCAAGGCCAAGCCATTGCTGAATTATGTGCCCCTGTAGGGGCCCCGTATCCTCAGACCCCTCAGAGGGCAGAGTTTTGCGCCCTCACTGGGGCGTGCCTTCTTGCATGCGCCCCTGATCATGTCGAGCTCTTTTCTGACTGCAGTCATGTTGTTGAGGCGGCTGAAACAGGCAGGGCTGTCCAGCTGGCCCACAGCAGAGTTTATGATGGCGCCTTTCCGCAGCGTCTTTCGCAACGGCCTGCTCTTCCGATCTGCCGCAAAGTCGCCGCTCATTTGAGTGTGCGCGAAGAGGATCTCGATCCTCTCGAGAAATGGCGGTGCCTGGGCAATCACTGGGCTGATGTTGGAGCCAAGCAGGCGGCGAATATCCATCCAGACGATCCCGACTGGCTGGCTTCAGCGGATAGGTTAGTTGCTCAGACTAGGGCCACATTGAAGGTGGCGGCGGGCCTTTTACATCTGTGGCCCAATGAGGATCTTTCCGAAGCGGAGCTGGCTAAGAAACCCACTTCGCCCCCGCGCTCTCAGCACCAATGGGGGTGGTGGGCCGGCATGTGGCGCTGTGCTTCGTGTCTTCGTGGGCGAAGGAGCGAGGATCGCCCTCCGCAAGGCCGCTGCCATCGATTCTCTAGGCTGCATGCCACCGCGCTGGACGCGCTCGGCCACAGAACGATAGCGTTCGATTGCTCCGATGGCGGTGTTATTTTCTTCTGCCTTCGGTGCCGCTGCCACAGCTCAGGTGCCTCGATCCGTGGGCTGGGCAGCCCTTGCCTTCCGTTCAAGGCTGCGGGCAACCAAGCTTGGAAGTGCCTGGTCAAAGGCACCCACCCGCAGTATGTTCGTGCCCAGAGGGGTGTTACTGTCGTTGCAGGTCGCGCCATCGAGTGTTTCAACAGGGAGCCTGCTGTTCCCGATGATCAGCAGGCACCATGTTCTCCCAGTCTCTTGGCGCGCATTGAAGCGGAGGTCGGATATGAAGACCCTTTGCCTGCTGCAGGCTCGTCTCCGCGTGTGCTCGACCCGTCGGGGAGCCCGTGTACGACCGCTTCGCCGAGGAAGATGCGATTGCCCGCTCGCTCTTCGACGTAGCTGATATAGAGGAGGAGGTCCGGTCGTCGTCGTTGGACGGGGGAGGGGGAACTTCCGCCTCGGCGGCCTTGGATGTGAGCGCTGCCTTGAGAGCTGCGGCGCGGCCTCGAGAGCCCCCTCTGGTAGCCTCCTCTGGCCTGCTTGCGCCTCCGAGTGGGGCCTCTGAACTTAGCCTGGTCCGCGAGAGGCTGTGCGCTGAAGCGGCCCCCCGCGCTTCAGGCGAATCCCTTTTCCCATAGCTCAGGCTATGTCGGTCTGGGCCTCCCACTGCTTCTCCCTCCGCAGCAGCGGGTGGTTCTCCTATTGAGGCTGCGGAGGCATGGCGTGGAGCCCCAGAAAAGGCCACTACCTATCCGCAGCGCCGCCCTTCCCAGCGTTCGTGTTCCCAGCCCCCGAGGCCCCGCAGCCGGCACTCCAGAGGCCGAGGGGGCAGGAATCTTCTTAAACTGAACGAATCCACGCGTGCCCCGTGGGGGGATGAAGCCGGGCCCCGCGGGGCGATATTTAGCTGCGGGTCAGGACTAGCAAGCCATCTCCGCATTGCACATAACAGGGTAAAGTTATCGCGCGTGCTCGCCCTGACGAATCCACGCGCGGCATGTGCGGAAGCTTTCGGCGAGCGCCCCGCGGCGCGCGCGCGCGTGTGGAAGGAGTTTTTTTTTTCACGGGCGATGTCTTCGAGACAATGCCTCGACCCTCATGGAGCTCCTGGCCCCCGAAAGTGTGGCCCGCAGAGTTTGCGGCCCGACGTTCTGGGGCCTCGCCGGGCGCAGACCGCGCGCGCTGTCGCGCGCGCGTCGCGCCCCTGCCGCCCGAGCTGGGTCGAGACGTGTTCGGGGAGGGGAGCTCCCAGCGCGGGTCGGCGCGCAGATCGCGCCGAGGGTGGGGCGGGCAGCCGAGGGGGCGGGCGAGGCAGGCGCCGGGCCCAGCAGGAAGGAGGCCAAGGCCACGGGCAAAGGCGAGAAGGGCGACGACGGTCTCCTGCACAAGGTCGCCGCTTCGACGCCGGCCACCGCTCGAGAGCAGGCCGCGCGCTCGCCCGTCGCGCCGTCGACCTTCCTGGCGCCGAGCGACTCGCGCCCGGAAAAGGGCGGGCTGGCGGCCGACAAGTCCCACGTCGACGACGCGACAGCGCCCCGCGAGCGGAAGGCAGCGGGCGAAGTCGCCAGGCCCGCCGTTCGTCATCATCTTCTTCATGGTGGTCGGGCCCCCCAAGAAGATGGGGCCGCTCGCCATCCGGGAACAGGTCAAGGATTTCTTCGAGAAGCACTTGACGGGCGAGCCCGCCGTGCACGGCCTGGCTCGTTCGCCGCTTCGCGATCCGTGCGCCGAGGGGGGCAGGCTCCGGGAAGATAGAGGGCCGCGTCGAGTTGCAGATCGCGGCGGGCTCGAACCCCGAGGCTCGCGCGATCCTGGGCCTTCCGGGCGCGGTCTTGGAGGATCTCGCGGCGGCGCAGCTCGCGGGGCCTGCGCCAAAGGGGCCGCTCGAGCGCCAGATCTCGAGCCTCGTGCCCCGCGGGGCATCGCGAGGGTGCCAAGCGGCCTTCGCCACGAGCGCTCGCCATCGTGAGTTGATCGCGAGAGAGCTCGTGCCACCGCCAGCTGCCACCATTTTTAGGGGCACTCTCGGATGAAAAGGGGAGGGGGGGCCGTCGTCGGCGTGATGGTGGGGGAGGGAGGGGCAGCGCGTCCCGAGGCGCTGATGGCGCCAGCGGGGCCGTGCCCCGCGGCCTGGCGGCCGTGCGACCGCCGCAGGCCCACGCCTCGCGGGAGCCGAGAGGTTGGCTTTGACGCCGCACAGGGCCTGAGCGTTTCGCCGTTTGGATGTGCATCGCGTTGCGGCTTCTTCCAGCCTCCACGACCATGTGCACGCTGCGCAGTGCAAACGTTGCGCGGCAGCGAGAGACAGAGGGATGACCTGGCCCCAAGTGTTTTCGCATCGTATCGTGCCCTCCTCCTCGTCATCACCATGCTCCTGCTCCCCCCCCCCCTCCCCTCCTTCCCGCCTTTCCCCTTCCCCGGCAAAAACAGCGTTGCCTCAGCGTCGAAATATCCGCCCTTCCTCTTTCTTCTTCTCTTCCTCCTCCTCCTCCTCCTTCTCCTTCTCCTCCTTCCCCTTCTCCTTCTCCTCTTCCTCCTCTTTCTCCTCTTTCTCCTCTTCCTCCTCCTTTTCCTCCTCCTCCGTAGCCATATTGGCCCAAGATGTTTAGTTCCTCAGTGGGACAAGTGGATGCCGCTAGTCCGCGGCAGGCAAGACCCTTTGTGGTCTGGCTGAGTTTCTTCGCACCGACGCTCGCCCCCACGGGTAAACGGAGGCTTTTCCCGTTCCTGTGCGCGCGAACGTCTCAGTCGCGCCCATGGGGCCTGCTGCTGGCGAGGACAGACGCAAGAGGAAGGAGAAGAAGGCCGCCAAGGACAGGAAGTCGTCCAAGGTTGCCAAGAGTGAAGGGACCCCTGGGCGGCGAGCTCGGAATCGCGCTCCGACTCCTGTTGATGATGATGATGATGCCGGTATGTCTCCTGTGTCTGTCGCTACGACGCCCCCTGTCACTCCCCGTCGTCAACGGAAAGTTCGCGACCCGTCCTCTCGACGCTCCAAGCGTTCTCCTGGACGTGGTGCAGGCGGCTCTCCTGAGCGTCGCTCTCGCAGTGGCCATGGCGATTCTTCTGAAGGATCTACCGCCGCGGCGCGTCGGGCTGCAGGTCTGGCTGCGCGGGCGGAGCTCGAGGGTCGCGTCCCTGAACCTGCTGGAGCTACCCCTACGCTTCCGTCGTAGGAGCCTGCTGGCGCCCCTGGCCGCGCTGGCGATGGCGCTCTCGGCACCTTGGATGGCCTCTCGCAGTTCGCCACCTTCCCGTCGCAGGAGCTGCGCGGGACCTCTGCAGCGGCTGGCGCGGCCCCACCGTCACCCTTGGCGTTCGAGATCCACGCGCCCATCGTGGGCAGCATGGAGGGCGCCTCGCTGCCTGCTGCTCCTGCCCCTAGTGGTGCTGGCAGCGCTACAGGGAGGGGCGGGGGTCCTGCGGGCGATCCCTGGGCTGGCGCCGCCGCTGCTCGGCAGGTGGAGGCGCTGCGCCGTGAGCTGTTCGCCGACTTCCAGCAGTCTTGCATGGATCAGGTGTCTGCTCTCTGCGTCGAGTCGTTGCAGCAGAGCCTCCCTGGCGCCCTTGCTGCTGCGACAGCGCCGATGTTCAAGAAGTTCGATGCGAAGGTCTCCCAGCCCTCCAACCAGCTCTCGGAGCAGGTCTCGGCGACCAACTCCCGCGCGGATGCGATGGAGGGTGCCCAGCGTGAGCTGCCGCGGCGCCTGGAACGGTTGGAGGGCGAGCTGGGCTAGGCCAAGCACGCGCCACCGCGCGTGGCGCTGCAGCGCACTGCTGATTGGGATCGCGAGATTGACTCGAGCATCTTCACGATCACTGCGAAGGAAGAGGTCGGAGTGGGCATGGTCGCGGGCGCCGTCAAGGAGTGGCTCGACGCCTGCTCCTACGCGCTCGGGCAAGAATGCAGGCTCGAGGGCCCGCAGCTCGGCCGTCAGTTCGCGCTGCGCATGGCGGGCCCCATTGGAGGCGACCAGTTTGGCGAGGATGCGGCGCTGTCAGGCGGCTCTGCGTCTTAGCCCTGGTGCATGGCGCAGGTTCAAGGCGGTGGGACCTGGGGGGCGCCCCGTGGAGCTGCACGTCGGCCGTGACAAGAACCGATGTGATATCGCCCGTGAGAAGGCATGTCGCCAGCTGCGCATCGCCTTTGAGAGCGCGTTCACCTTGCCGCGACGGGCGTTCGTGGACAGAGACGCTGGCGCTCTCACCTACCAGTGGGAGCCGATGGCCAAGATCGAAGTGTCGCCGCACGAGCTGCCCGTCATCAAGTGGAACAATAACTGCATCGTGGACATGGTCTTGGACTACTCCAGCGTCATGGAGGTCGGGATGGCTTGCTTCGCTCCGAAGAAGGTTGAGTGGTGTGGGTAGCAACTGGCTTGATGGGCGTACCGTGCAGCATGTCTCTTGGAACGCCCGTGCGTTGTGCCACCACGACGCGCCTGCTGTCAGACGTCGTCTCCGTGTACTGACTGCTCTGGCCACGCCCTGCAGGAGACCCACGGCTCTCGTGACGCGGTCGCTGAAGCGTGTCAGAGAGCTGGGGTGCCTCATCAAGTTTTTAGCTCGTATGCCGAGGAATCTGATACGGGGGGGGGATGGCCACTCTTATTCCGTCGGGTCCTTGGGCCGAGCAACATCTTTCAATTGTGCCTAAGGAGGTTTTGTCGTGCGTGTTTTAATGCTGAAAATCACCTCCCCAACTTTTTCCCTGTTTCATTGGAGCGTGCATGACGCGGATATCCCAGCGGAGTCTCTGCGCGAGATTTTGGAGACAGTCCGTTCGCAATGTGAGTTAGTTCGTGCTGACCCGCTGCGTATCGGTCTCATTCTGCAGGGCGATTTTAACATCGCCAACTCGGAGGTGGGGGCGGGGCGGATGGGTCGGGCTGGGGATCGGCTCTGGAAACAAGTCTTCCGCAAGCTCACCGAGCTTGCCACGGATGCTCCGACGTGTTGGCACCGGGGGGCCCGATCGGAGGCCTGCGTCGACAGGACTTTTACGGCCACCCCCCCGTGGATTCTTTGTGAGGGCCATCAGTCGGTCTCTAGGTTGGACGAACCTCGTGAGCTGTTCCTGCGCGGCGTCAGTGACCATTGCCCGATCACAGTGGTCCTCTCAGCTCGTCAGCGGGGGTCGCCTGATCGCAGGCGCCCTCGTCCTCTCCCTCGGATGGTGGTCTCTGATCCCCCCTTTCCCAAGCTCGTAGCCGAATATGAGAAGCTCGCGTGCTTCGAAGGGCTCGATGCCCCTGAGGCGCTCGATCTCGCCACTCGCCGTCGGCAAGCCGCAGGCCTGGCGACCCGAGGCCTGGCGCTGTCTCGCGACAGCCGTGCCATGATGCCGCGGGCCATGGTTTCCAGGACGATGGCTCGGTGTGTTTCCCGCCAAGATGCGCGGCTTGCCAGAGCCGCCCTCGCTCGCCACAGCTGGACGCGGCAGTTTCTGGGCGCGTCGGCTCTCGGCGAGGTGTGGCTGAGGGGCCCTGGGGCCTTCCAGGACCTGCGCTGCCCCCTGCAGCTTCAGGAGCGGCGTGCTTTTCGCGCGCGCTTCGAGGCCGAAGCGCGAGGGGAGCTCCGCCCAGGGATGCAGCAGCGAATTCGAGCGCGCGGTGCTGCGCTCGCGCGCCGTTCACGGCTCTGGTGCCCCTTTGGAAGAAGGATGTTTTTGGCGGGGGCTCTACCCTCCGGCTCTGCGGCGGCGACTTCGTCTCCCGAGGGGATGGCTCAGGCGTTAAATAGTCACTGGGCCCCCGTCTTTGGTCAGGAGACCCCGTTGCCGAATCGCGCATCGAGATATGCTCAGAAGTTTTGTAATTCGTGTCTTGACTTTCGGGGCCTTCCTCCTCCTTCCCTGGGCTCGATCTCGGGGTCTCTGGCTCGCGCCTCCTCATCGGCCCCTGGCCCTGACGGGCTCCCCTTCTCCTCATGGCGCCACGGGGCGGGCCCGAAAATTCTACACCAGGTGTTGCTTTGGGTGTTGGCTGGCCGTTTGATGCCGCCTGAATTCTGCGCCTCGCTCCAGGTCTTCATTCCGAAGCCGCTGCCTGGAGACGACCCGTCTAAGGACGGGCTGGAGCGCGCTGCGAGCGACGCGCGGCCGCTGGGCTTGAAAAACAGCTCTAACAAGACCGTTGCTGCTGTGCTGAATCGGAGCCTGACTCGCGCGACGCAGGCCCGTACTGATCTTTCTCAGCGCGGGTGTGTGCCTCGGCGAAATTTTCTCGATAACATCGTGGATTTGGACACGATTGCGAGGATCACCAGTGTCAGGCGCTACGGGGACCCCACTCATGCCCCCTCCCTTCTCGCCTTCGATTTCTCCCAGGACTTCCCCTCTGCGCGGCAAGAGTGGATGATCATGAATGTGTCCCTGGCCCCGATCCCTCGCGTATTTAAGGATGCGGTGACAGTGTTTTATGATTTAAACCCGTGTTTCTCTGCCCAGGGGGACGAGCAGGTTTTTCTCTTCGGGCTCCAAGGATGTCCGCTTTCGGGCTCGCTGTTTCTGTTCGCGGTCAACCCTTTCATTCGGGATGTGGAAATCTCCCTGGCCCGTGTCAGCCGCGGGCTTGTCCGAGCGTGTGCGGATGACATCGGAGTTGTCGTCTGGCATCGTGATGGGTGGAGGCGCCTCGGCAGAATCTTCGGCGTCGCTGATAAGCTTGGCGCGCTTGCTCTGAAGTATCGAACATGTGTTGCCATCCCGCTTTGGGCCGAGTTACCACCTGATGTCCAGAAGCGGCTAGAGGAACTTATTGTTTTTGCTTGTCCGTCCTGGACCGCGTTTAAGATTGCAAGCAAAACTGTGCACCTCGGCTGCATCATAGGTCCTGATGCGATCTCCTCGGACGCCTGGAGGGACCCTATCGGAAAGGCCATGGACAGGTGCTCCTCGTTGGGTGCC